CATAAAACCACTTTGTACTTAAGCAGGTTAAATGTTTACATTTTATCAACTTCATCCCCGTGATGTTTTAGTCCTCACCACCACCATCACCTAGCTTTGACCAGGTGCTGACCTGGAAGGAGGAGAATTCTGCTTCATCCCGCCCTGGTCCCTGCCACCCCCTTCAGGCTTCCTATGATTTGAGTGTAAGGAAGTGTGAATAGAGGGCCTGCTCAGTTACTTCCTGGACGTGGTCACCCTGTCCCTGTCCCTGGCGCCTTTACACTACGCCTCCTCCTGGCTTGCCCACATGCATGGCTGGGATGCCCACATGGGGCTGTCTACCACTGTTTCACCTGGGCTGGTGAGTGCCCTCCAATTCAGCCCTGAGTCCCCCAGGCCCTCCTCTTCGTGGGCTCTCAGCCTCAGCCCCATTCCACCCTCTTCTGAGAGAAGTGAGTGGCGTGCCGAGGACCCTCAGTTCTCAGCTGAGGTGCTCTTTGCTGTCACCAGCATGCTCAGCTCCACCTGCCCAGCCTACATTCTGTCCGAGCTGTTTGGCACTCTGCAGATTTCCAATGGCAAGATGATCGACGACATGATCCGGTGCGTACTGTCCCGGCTCAGAGCATCCTCCCCTCTGATAGACTTCACTCACCACTGGACCTCCTTCCACAATGCCCCAGCTCTAGTTGGCACAGGGATTCAACTTGGGTTCCTTGCATAGGCTCCAGAGACTTCTGAGAACCTGAACTATAGGCAAAATTTGGGGTGTAAATGTACACTTCTCTGCAGAGAGAGTCTATAACTCTCACCTAAATCTCAGAGTCCTGAGACCCAGAAAAGATTAGGAACAACTGACAGCAGGAAGAGTCCTTGGTTGAGAATTCCAGTCCCTTCTGTCACTGTCTCTGTGACCCCCTTTAGGGTGTCTGTTTTCTCGTTTTTGTGGTAAAGGCACTGGACTGAGGGGTCCCTATGGACCTTTCCTATTACGTAACTGCTCTTTGAACCCATGGCATTGTCTGGTCTTCCTGGTGTTCATCACCTAATCATTTACAGCTAAATCTGGCTTCTCACCCTAATCACGGTCTGTAGTTAATATCGGCTCCTCTGGAGACTGGGTGGGTGACGGTGGTGACAAAAGCCCTGGTTCTGCCTGTGAACATCTTCAGCTCAGCATAGCTTGGAGGAGAACCTCCCACCCAACCCAAGGCTCTTCTAGCCCACCCTGCCATAGCTAACTCATTCTCACATGTGTTTTTTTTTTAATCCTCACCTAAGGACATTTTTCCATTTTTGTTCAGACATAGTGGGAGGGAGAGAGAGGAAGAGAGAGAGAAACATCGACGTGAAAGGGACACATCAAGTGGCTGCCACCTACACTACCAACCAGGGCTGGGGACAAACTGCAACTGAGGTACGTGCCCCTAGTGGGAACCGAACCTGGGTCTCTGGACCGCAGGCCGATGCTCCGATCACTGAGCCAAACCTGCCAGGGCTCTATTCTTTTTTTTTTTATATCCTCACCTGAGGACATTTTTTGATATTTTGTTCAGATAGAGTGGGAGGGAGAGAGAGAGAGAGAAACATCGATGTGAAAGGGATACATCGAGTGGCTGCCACCCACACAACCCAACCGGAGCCGGGGACAAACTGCAACCGAGGTATGTGCCCTTAGTGGGAATCGAACCCGGGTCTCTCCAGACCGCAGGCCAACACTCTAACCGCTGAGCCAAACCGGCCAGGGCAAGGGCTCTATTCTTAATAGTAACCAAACTGAATACTTGTTAAGTAAAGAGGCTCAACTTGAAAGGTCATCACCCCCATTCCTCTTCCCAGAACTTGACTTCTCCCAGGGTGGAGACTTGCCCCTCCCCTATCCCATCTGCTGCCAGGTTCATGTTCATCCTCATGATCATCCTGACTCCCTTCCTCTGTGGCCTCAACAACATCTATGTGCCCTACCAGGAGACAGAACAGCTGGGCAAGTGTGCCAGGGCAGCGGCGTGATGGGCAGGTGGGAGTGTGGGACCATGCAGGATGGAGCTCAGCAAGCACTTCTCTCTACCGTCCCCCTTCATCTATTCACACCATAATTAATTCTCTGGTTTGGGGAGTCACACTCATTCATTTGTTCCTTTACTCATTCATGTATTCGCCCCCTCACTGGTTGATGACGTGTACTTTTCAACACATCACATCGGGAGACACATGAAGTCTGTTTAGCCCATTGGTAAGGTCGTTAGGGGCACTAAAGATTTGATAAGCAGAAGTACAACACATCAGGATCAGGTCTGCATTTAGAAAGACCACCTTGAATGCAACGTAGGGGATGGGATAACAGGCGAGACTGAGGTCAGAGACCAGCTGCAGGGCCTGTTGCAGTAATTCAGCACCTGAATTGGTGCTGAGATGGAGGGAATAAGACAGATTAACAAATAAATACAATAGGACTCATGCCATTGAGTGTCTCACAGACACGTACTTTCTGCTGGAGGCAGAGAAGGAAGTTCAGGGATGGCTTCCTGGAAGAGACAGCATTGGAGTTACTACTTCTGTGGTCCAAACCACTACCTCTCTCACCCAGGCCATGACAAGTTTCTTAATTGGTCTCCATGCCCCCGCTCTCTCATCTGCTTCCCTTCCATTCTCACAGCAGCCAACAGAAAAATCAGGTATCATCCCTCTGCTTAGAACTCTTCAGAGCTTCCTAATGCTTGAAGGCCATGGTGAGGAAGGCCCTGCATGACTTGGTTGGTCCCTACTTACGGCTCATGCCTCTGTCTCGAGGGCCTCTGTCCCTTTGCCCTCTGAGATGAGTTATGCTGGCCTTGTCTCAGTTCCTCAATGCTCTCAGGCTTCCCTGACTTGGGAACACTGTTCATGTCTCCTTCTCTTTCACTGATTGATTCCCATGGATCCTTCAGAGCTTAGCTTGAATGCTTTTCAAAGAATCTTTCCCCAGCTCCCAGACTAGGTCATAACATCTCCTGCTGCTTCTTCACAGCACTTGCCACAATTTTAAAATGTTGCTATAATTAGTATCCATCTCACCCCCTATTCCCACCCAAGAACATAAGATCCTTGAAGACAGGGCCTGGGGAGGGAGAGTGTGGATCCTTCGAGTCGTCAAGGTCCTGGTATAGCGCTGCATAAAGACTGCCCGGAGTTCCAGGAGACGCCTCGGAAAGATTGGTTGCTCACCTCCAAGCCCTCCCCATTCCTGCTCCTGGCTGGCTGAGATAAATGCACCACATCCAGACCCACACCCCTCACCCAGCCTGCGGTTATAAGTGGCCCCACCCTACTTGCCCTTAGAAGTCACAGCCTGCACAGTATGGACCCTTGTACTCAATTACCCTCTGAACCATTCATTTATTCTGCTCATTTCATGCAATGCTTTATTCTTGCCTTCATTTATGTGTTCACTTATTCTCATTCACTCCCTTAGTCATTTACTCATTTACTTAATTCATTAGTCATTCACTTATTCACTCATTTAACCAGCATTCATGGCCATGTCCCCTCTGTTCCAGGCCCTGTCTTAGAGGGAGGGGACTGCAGAGCAGGGATATGTAGGAAGCTTTCAGCCTGGTGAGGAAGAGAAACTGTCTTATTAGGCAGAAAGTGCTTAGCTAAGAGAGACACAAACTGCAGTGGGACCCAAAGGACAGAGGGGCCTACCATTTTGAGGCTCATGGGAAGGAAGAAGGACAGAGTACGAGAAGTTAGAGAAAGAGGATGTGGAATTTAAACTGGGCCCTGAGGATGGCTATGAGTGCACAGGTGTAGATGGGGAAGAGGGCTGACAGGCGGATGTACAGATGTCTGCTAAACACTTTTCCATTAGGACTCCTGATCCCCTCCCTGGTCCACAGACTATCCTTTTTATCTTCTATTTTTTTTTTTTTTTAATCATCACCCGAAGACATTTTTTTGCATTTATCTTTAGATAGAGCAGGAGGGGGAGAGGGAGGAAGAGAGAGAGAAACATCGATGTGAGAGAGACACATCGAGTGGCTGCCACCCACACAACCCCAACGGGCGCCGGGGACAAACCGCAACCAAGGTACGTGCCCTTAGTGGGAACCAAACCCGGGACTCTTCGGTCCGCGGGCCAACGCTCTAACCGCTGAGCCAAACCGACCAGGGCTCCTTTGTATCTTCTAAACTCTCCACCACCCAGCCCCGTTCATAGTCATCTGCCATACACTCCACCCACCCACTAGACTCCCATTCTCACTTCTTCCACTTTTCCCTCAGGAACCCCAAGCATGATGTCCCCTGGGGTTCTACCCAGGGTAGAAGTCGTACAGGGCAGGTTCATCTTCTGAGGGACCTCTATCAGTACTCCCCCACCTCACACTCCTGCAGACCTGGGCAATAGGCTGACAGCTGGCCAAGAATGTCTATCTCTCGACGGCAAAGTGAGGCAGCTAGTGTGCATCGCACTCTGGAGAAGGGAAGGGCGCCCCAGCCCCAAGGGTGCCAGCATCCTCAGCTACTACATCACCCAAGTGCGCAACAGCTTCCAAAACCTGGGGCCCCCCATCCCTGAAACCCCAGAGCTGACAGTGCCAGGGACGGTGGGGACCCAGATATCTTTAGAAACTGGGCTTCAGGATGCTGGAGGAGTTGGGACTCTGGCTTCTGGACAGTCTGGTCCCTCCTCCCCGGCTCAAGTGCTGGTGCAGGGGCAGCAGGAGGCAGAGGGGGCTGGGAACTGGCCCCAGGAGGAAGCTCTGGGAAGCAAGGAGGGGTCCTGCTGCAATGGGAGGGCTCTCCTATTGCTGACCAGAGCAGCCTACATGCTGGGAGGGGGATCATTTAGTCGGAGCCTATACTGCTTTTCTTACCTCAATAAAGTTTCTGTTCAGGATGTCAGATGCCTCCAGAGTGGAGAGAATCTGTCTATGTTTTGAGATCCCCTCCCTATCTCTCCCGAAATGGACCCTTGTGGGAGCAGGGCAGAGAAATGGCGTGCTCTGGGGTCAAGTACCTTGGGCTTAGGATCCTACCTTGAGTTCCTTCAGCTCTTTAGTGCAAAGAGTCCTGGACTGTGAGGCAGGGGCCTGGCTTTGGTACTAGGTCTGTCCTCGAGCAAGTCACTTGCTTCCTTGGCTGTGCAGTCTCATCTGACAGAGGAGCCAAGGAATCCATCTGTCCCCTTCCTGCCTTCAGGCCATTGTGAGGAACCTCGGGCTGGTAAAGCTTCTGGGTTTGCAAGTTATAGTGTGTGACAGGGATCTGCACAGGAGACCATGTCTAAGAGTGATAAAGAAGTCACTCTTTTAAGTCTCTCTATCTGCAAGGCCAGAGCAGGGCACATGGTCCAGACTCATGGAAAAAACCAATCACGAAATTCGATGTCACCACACTCCTACACTGTTTAATGAAGTGATCATCACAGTACTACCCATGTCCCAGGGAGTCCCCACCACATAGCGGGGCTTCCTCCACCCTTCCATGGCCTCAGATTCCTCCACATCCAGGTTGGGGAGATGGCTTCAAGGGCTGGGTCCGAAACCATGTTCTTGCTTCTCAAGGTTGCTAGAAGGCCCCCTTCTACATATGAAGGTCAACAGTTGCCAGGACTCCTAAGTGGCAGGCAATGGACTTTCAAGGGCCCAGCTCCCGAGAGCTGGATCCCCACAGGGGCCAAGAGCGGGGTCTTCCAGGAGAGCAGAGGGAAGGAGGCCCTGTTGGAGGGTGTGTTCAATTGCCTCCCTTGCTGAAGAGAGAAGAAAAGAAGGTAAGGGGCCAGCAGGGCCAGGAGGAGTCAAGCAGTGAGGGAGGAGGAAGGAGGATAACTCACTTGGCTCGGACACACAGACTTGCCTCTTCTCCCCTGTAACAAACAGCATGGTGAGGCCTGCATGTAAACAGACCCTCACACCCCCAGCTCTCCTTCCCACCAGGCCCTGGCACTGGCCACTCCTCTTCTCAATCCACCTTTCCCTTCTGACTTCCTTTCCTCCTCCTTCTCTGGGGAAATCTTCCCAGATAGCCTGTCTATCCCTGCCCCCACCCTAGCCCAGTCACTGTCCCCTTCTGTCCCTGCCTAAACACTTGGGAATAGCACAGGTGTGTCCTGTGGATCCCATGAAGCCCAGGGCCTCCTGAGATCTGAAGCAGCATTCCTGTCACTGGCCGCTGTTTGCTGATCTGAACTGGGCTCTTATTAGACTTTATAGCAGATGGAACCTCTTGAGACCATTTACAGAATCATTTGAGAATATGCACAGAGCTGGAAAACACTGATAGGACCTTTGAAGCTGGCAGGAGCTGAGTCACAGAGAACAATAACTACAGCTGACTTCTAGCCCTCAACTTCCTCATTAACCAGGTAGGTCTCCCGAAGGCCCTGGTAGGTCAATTCCATGGTAGGCTCCTGAAGAGACTGTACAGAGACATCCTGGCTTTCACCTTCCCTGCCAGTCCCGCTTCCCTCATGCACAGCTCACCACCCAGATAGGCGCAGTTAAAGTGGCTGCAGGTCTTATTATAGCTCCGAAGAGTCACTAGGTTCTGGGCTCCATCTTGGGAGAACCTGGTGACCAAGAAGACTTCATGGGGAGGGATCAGCACCTCACGCTCCTTGGGGAAAACAGACAGGGCCTGGATGGGGGCCCCAAAACAGGTCCTTAGGGAGAAGAAGGTGGCATTACCAAATCTGTGGGCCACCGCCTCATCCAGGGAGCTGGAGGCAAACTGGCCCAAGCGAATAGAGTCCCCCGACCTCTTAGGTTGAAAGCGAAGGGTGTCTACACCTCGGAACACCACCAGCCCAGGTCCCCTGCTGCAGCCCTCACTTCCCTGCAGCAGCTGCAGGGCCCGGGTCAGGTGGAAATGCAGGGCCTTGAAGGGGAAGTGCCGCATGTAGAGCTCCCGGGAGCCACCGCCCGTCCGCACGGCCTGGTTCAGCTCCCTGTACAAAGTGTTAGAGGAGTTGGTATAGACCATGACAGCAATTCCATGGTGGGATCTGAAGCCAGGGGGCAGGGTGAGCCCTCGCTGCTTCTGCTCCCAGGCCTCCTGGGCTGCCTCCCAGGATTCCCGCAGCAGGGCATGGCGGGCCATCTCCTCCTTCAGCAGAGGGGCTGCCTTCTCCTCCATCTCCTCTGCGCAGCCCACATAGGCGTCATCGAAGGTGTCTGGTGCCAGGCCCAGGGGCAGGATGGGAACAGCCTGGGCCTAATAAAGTAAGGAAGAGAGGAGTCACACTGGAAAGGGTATAAATTCAGAGCACTGCACAGGGGTCCTGGTGGCAGGTCAGTTTAGAAACACAGAGTCTAATTTCTTAGGCCCAAATATCTGCTGTATACAATTTGGCAAGGGCCCAAGGGCTTAAATATCACAGGCACTGGAGTCAGACATGGGTTCAGATCCTGACGTTCATCACCTACTAGTTGTGGGATCTTGGCCAGTCTCTTAAGTCTTCTGGGCTTCAGGTTCTCCACCTATAAACTGATACTTCTAACCTCACAGGACTATTGTGAGGATAGCAGATAGATCTTCACTTCTGTACAACCTAAAAGGGATCATCTTGTCATCAAAGAGCTTCTCACACTCAATGGGAAGTGGGGCTAGCTGGCTTCCAAGTGCTGTTCTGGCTCTAAGACTCAGTGTACAGATGATCCACAAATGCACCACCCGTGTCCCCATTACCTGACCCCGCCCCATCCTCAGACTTTCCCTCCCATGCAGGTGCTCAGGCACCACACCAAGTCCTTGTCAGCTCTGAGACTCCTGAGTCCTCTCCTGCTTTAGAAGCCCTCATCCCCCACCCTGGGGTAGGGTGTGGGGAGGAGCCCTGGTCGGGGAGGTGCTGCAGGGGGGCAGTACACAGGGGCCTCGGCTGAGCTGGTGACTGGAGACGGAATTGGGGATGAGGACACCAGAGGGAAGATGTGGAGAAAGGAGGATCACAGGTGAAGATGGGGGCTCTAGGAGAGGGAATGGGAGCTGGGGACTCCCTGCAGGGAGGAAGGTTGCAGAGAAGAAGAGGATTAAGAGGATTGGGGTCCTAGAAAACAGGCCCTGGGAGAATTTTGAGGAGTCTGCCTCCCAACTCTTTCTTTTGTGGCAGGGGATGGTTTCCCCAGTTACCTGCCAGAGGGTGTGAAGGCCAAGGCTGTGGAGGGTGAGCAACAGAGCAGCCAGCATCATCTCTGGGGGAGACAGGCGAGCAAGGTTCAGAAGCGGGTGGGATCAGTGGCAGCGTGGGAGTCTTGGTTTCAACTGGCTTGGGTGGGGAAGAGACCCGGCACCTTCTTCTGCAGTATTAATAAGATGGTCCAGGACCCAAGGCCCAGGCATGGGCAGGGCTAAGGGTGGGCCTAAGGGAGTGGGCGGGGCTTGTATATTACTGTCTCCACCCCCCAGCACAAGCACAACCCCACGTCTCTGCTCCCCCCACACACTCCCAGAAGCCCTCAAATTCAGTTCCTTCTTTGTAGAGATTTTTTTGCGATGGTCACAGTGATTTGACTCCACCTGGAGAGGGGAGGGGTCAAGTACCTGGCACCCACCTGTAGGTCACATAGGTCGAGAGTGAGAAGATTTGGTTCGGCAGGCGGCAGGCTGGTGTCTGGAGGAGCAAGGATTGTCCCCGGAGTCCAGCAGACAGCTAACTATAGCCCCCGGGGCAGTAACCCAACACCTCTCTTCCCCAACCACAGGCGCTGTGGTGGAGGGAACAGGGGTGGTGAGAAAGGGGCTGAGCAGCTGACTCCCCTCCCCAAACTGAGAGTTCTTTCTCCAGGACCCCTTTGGCTCCCAGCAAGCCCGTTTGGGTGAGGGAGCTGGTGAGACTTTGCCTCTCTCTCAGGGGTCCCTGACCCATCCCCCAGACCATAGGCCTGGGAACCCAAGAGGGTCCTGTCTGCCAAGAGGTCACCACTTATGTAAATGTTTATTTGCATCAATTTGCATACAGCCCACTCGATGGGAAACGTGTTGCCCAGCATCTGAGGGGCACCCACCCCCTCCCTTCTCTTTAACCCCCTTCCCTATCAGTAGGGTTGGAGCAGATGCAGAGCTCTCTGTTTCAGATCCTCAGGGTCTAGCGCCACCCCCTCTGGACCCCCTCTCTACCTGGACCACTCAGGTTCAGGTGACCTGGTGTTTATAAAAGCTGGCCTTTCCTCTCCCCTTCTGTGGGCTTGTCTATAAATAACCTGACTCTGAGCTTTGGATGCCCAGCCAGAGGTCATGGGAGCAGGGGCCTGCTGAGGAATCAATAAGCAGGTCTGGAAAGAGCTTTCTGAGGGCCTGAGCCTCTGGAGGGTGGGTAGAGGTGCTCCCCCATAGTGGCCAGAGGAGTTGGGGGGTCCTGAATGTCGACATCATAGAGATGCTGCCCACTTATTGCTGGAGCTGAGGTGGGCATGGAGGCTTCCATCCTAGTCTGGCTCATTAGTTTAGCCCCATCCCTGTTCCCCACCCCCTTAGACTGGCAACCAAATACTTTCCTTCACAAAGAATCCTGCTTTCTCCAACACGTCTTAGAGCAAAAAGGAAGATAAACTTGGGGGAGGGTGGGAGGTGGAAAGAGTGGCATCCCCAAAAACAAGAGTGCTGATCAGTCAAACAGCTTCAAGACAAGTCCTTCTGCCCATTTCCAAAGAGACTGGCCACCCCCAAGTCCCCCTAGATTAGAAAATCAGGAGCCACTCTGCTGTTCAGCAGTGCTGTAAAAAGCAGCATCTTTCCTGCCTGTCTAAAGGGACTTGAGCACTTGCAATGGCTGGAACAGAAGATACAGTCTGAGACAGGAAGGCCTGCTGAGACAGTTCCTGGGACCAGATCTACTGGGACCATGACTTTGTCCTCTCTCCACTCTCTAGCTTTGGGGAATTGTTTCTCCCATCCCATCACTTGGAACCCCAAGAAAGGCCCCAAGAGATGGAGTCAACTCTGGTCACTGAATAGGGGTCCGGAGTGAAGCAGAATGTCCTCTAAGATTACACTGCAAACTGATGCTGGAGCTGGGACCCAGACCCAGCCTTCCTTATCTAGGAATCTCTCCTTGCACCTAAAGTGAGTCTCCGTGCTCACATGAAAGAAACACATGTAAAGGGATGTTCTCTGAGAACTGGGGTGCTGGGCGCTGGGCCAAATCCAGGAGGTAGGCAGTTGTTGCAGCCTGGAGCCTCCATGCCTCAGCCCCCCTTCTCTCTGGCTTCAGGGAGTCCCTATGTTATGGGAAGAGCATTGGCCCAGGGCAGAATGGCAGAGGCTAGTGTCCCTGAGCCTTGAGGAGACATCCAGAAATAGATGGGGGTGTGGGGTGTCATGTTTCTGAGCAGCTGTGTGGGGGAGGCACAATATAAAGGAGAAACCTGCCCTCCCTCTTCCCTGGTGGCCGTTACAGGAGACCAACACCAGCTTCCCTGCCCCGAGAAGGCTTAGGTAAGGGGCAAACACCCTTCTCCCGGCACTGGGCAGGGAAAAAAATTTTTTGAGGGGAAATGTGGGGTATTAATGGTGGAGTTTTAGGAATCATTAGGACAAGTTTTAGGAAATCTTTTATCTTAGTCTATTTTATCGGTCTGTTTCTCATGTTTCTGAAGGCTGAAAGTCCAAGGTCAGCATGGTCAGGTGAAGGAAGGCACCCTCCCTGGATCACAGCTAACACCTTTTCACTGTGCTCACGTGGTGGAAGGGAGCTCTGTGAGGTCTCTTTCATTGGAACGCTAATCCCATTCAAGTAGGCTCCACCTTCCGGAACTAATCACCTCCCAAAGGCCCCACCTTCTAACACCATCACACAGACATCAGGACTCCAGCACATGAATTTTCTGAGGACACAAACATTCAGACCATAGTACCTTTGATAGAGAAGTTTGGGACCCTTGGGGAATTTAGGGATTCTGGGGAGAGATTTGAAGTCCCAAACCCAGAAAGGAATGTTCAGCGAGGGCCTGAATAAGGGAAAACTGATGAGAAGTACCCAGAGCAGATGAGGACAGAGGGCAGCTAGGATATAAAGAGGGGTTGCCTGGTGCCTCCACTTCCTCGACTCCCACATCCTCCCCATTACTCTGTCCTACCCCACTCCACCCCCCAACAGTGGTCACCAAAGTCATTGATCCACCTGCTTGCAGTGGTCTACATTGTTAGCTGCACCCAGAAATCCTCTCAGATACTCAGCAAACATTCCGGGAGGCCTCACCTGGGCCTAGCCTTGGACTGAACTCTGAGAACACAGAATGTGTCATACCTGGCCCCTGCCCTCAAAGAATTCACAAGCCAGGAGGGGAGACAGACACATAAGGGCAGCACAGTATGATCAAGACAGAGACAGGAAAGCACAGGGTGATATAGGAGCCCACAGAAGTCAGGGGACTTCCTGGAGGAGGTGACCCCTGAGTTAAGCCTGGAAGAGTGGGTAGCAAAAGAAGGGCATCCCCAGCAGATGGCAGTGTGTAGAGTCACAGAGAGGAAAATAGCAGAGCCTTGCCTGGAACTTTGTTTTGTACTCTAGAAGCCAAGCAGGGGTGGTGGGGCAGGAGGCTAAGGAGGTCCTGGAGAGCTGGTCACAGAGGGCCTGAAATGCTGGAGGAGGTTGGATTCTGTTCTGAGAGACTCTGATTGGCCTTGCTTAGGTCATGTGTCCAACCATGAGCCAATCACAATGGCCAGGGTAGTACAGCACCAGTTTGGGGTCCTGTGTTCCCCCACCTGAACACATGGGCTGGATTCTCCACAAGAAAGGGAGGATCTATTATAGAAGCTCAAGCTTCTTGGCTAGATTCCAGGAGACCACAGACAAGAGTTCAAGTAGATTTTGGCTGCCACATACCCTGCCCATTAGCACTCCATCCTGGCATTGGGATCAGTGCCTCCTGCTTGATGCCCTACGGTGATGCTATTTTCAATTCTATATACTCTGTGCCTCCTCTGGTCAGCTCTTCATTTAAAGCCCACTCCTGGTACAGATTGGTTTCTGTTAGGCCCTTTTGGTTCCTTCTGTAACATGTATCACATGCTACCTGAAATTATGCACTCTAGCTCCATCTCCACTTCTGAAGAACTTAAAGAAGCAGGGGTGTGGGTTTTGTTGTTGCTGCTGCTGTTCATAATTTTTTTATCCTCACCTGAGGATATGTTGCCTTCCATATGCATCCTGACCAGGGATCAAACCTGCAACTTAGGTATGTGCCCTGAGCAGGAATTGAACCCACAACCTTTCTGGTGTACGGGATGACACTCTGATCACCCAGCCAGGGGTGCTGTTCATAATTTTTTCCTCAGTGCCTGATACATCACAGATGCTCACAGAGGATAACAAATTCAGTTTGGGACATGCTGAATTCGATAAAAACTGCTGCTAACTCCACAGCCCAAAGAAACTCACACTTCAGTTTAAATTGTACATTGGGAATATATAGGGTCTTAGATTTGGAGACTCAAAAAATTATACCTACATAGAATCCCAGTATCTCAGAGTCAGTGAACTGTCAAACCTTAGCGTCCTCCCAAGAGCCAGAGGGGATGATGGAGCAGAAATGCTTAACCCGAATGACACTGGGGCAGAGACATAACCACTCGAAATTTGTGAAATGCTTGTATGAAGGTGCAGATATCCATTTTCTGAGAACAGTTTCCAGATTTTATTAGAGTCTCAAAGATAAAGAACCATGGACTGTGTTACCATTTGTGCAAAAGAAGGAAAACAGACATGCCTGTGAATTTGCTTGTGTATGCATAGCATGCCTCTGGAAGGACACACCCAAAGCAGGTGCATTGGCTGCCTCTGGGAGATGAGGTTGGAACTGGCGAATTAGTGAGAAAAATACGTTTCACCGTATGCCTTTTGGACTGTTGAAATTTTGAACAATAAAAATATACTACCTTTTAGAAAATTAAGTTAAAACTTCAAAATATTAAAAATTAAATTATGATTTATCCTCTTAGTGAGAAGAGATATAAATTAAAAAGCGGATACTATTTATGCCCACTAGTTAAATGAAACTTAAAGAGAGATTAATAATATACAGTGTTAGCAAAGATGTGGAGAAAAGGACACTTTCATTCATTGTTGGTGGGAGGAAAACTGGTGCCTTTTGGATGGCAATCTGGCAGTGCCTATCAAAATAAAAAATATTCATATCCGGCCGGTGTGGCTCAGTGGTTGAGCATCAACCCTTGTACCAAGAGGTCACCGGTTTGATTCCCGGGCAGGGCACATCCCCAGGTTGTGGGTTCGATCCCCACTGGGGGGCAGGCAGGAGGTAGGCCAATCAATGTTCTCTCTCATCGATGTTTCTATCTCTCTCTCTCTCCCTTCTTCTCTGTCTAAAATCAATAAAGAAAAAAATTTTTTTTAAATATTTATATCCTTTATATATCATCTTACTTGATATTTTTCCTATAAAAAATATGCACACAAGTAGACAAGGATTTATATACTTGGATATTCATGCAATATTATGTGTAATATAAAACAATTAGAAAAATATATATGTCCATTAATAAGGAAATGATTAAGTTAGGGTTTCACTGTACCATGAAATACCATGCTGCCTTCATAATGAACAAGGTAGATATATGTATGAGATGGAAGAAGTTCATTATATAAGGCTATGGAGTGTGTATGTGTAAGCATGTTTCCTTTTTATTTTGGGGGGAAAAAAGACATAAAACAAAAACAGCTGTGTGCAAAAAACTGTATGTATACTTTTTAAAATTTTTATTTATTTATTTGTTTGTTTGTTTTTGTTACAGACGTTTTTCATTTTTCCCCCACTGACACCCTACTCCCCTTTCCCCCCACCCCGCCCCATCCCCAGCTTTGTTGTCCATGTTCAGTGGTCATGCATACATGCATGTAAGTTCTGTGGTTTATCTCTTCCTCCCCCAGAACCCCCTCCTCTGCGGCTTGTCAGTCTGTACCCCACCTCTATGTCTCTGGGTTAATTTTGTTCAGCAGTTTGTTTAGTTCATTATATTCCACAAATAAGTGAGATCATGTGATATTTGTCTTTCTCTGCTTGGCTTGTTTCGCTTAGCATAATACTCTCCAGGTCCTTCCATGCCATCTCAAATAATAAGAGATCTTTCTTTTTTACAGCTGCATAGTATTCCATTGTGTACATGTACCACAGCTTTTTTTATCCACTCATCTACTGATGGACACTTGGTCTATTTCCAGATCTTAGCGATTGTAAATAGTGCTGCTATGAACATAGAGGTACATATATTCTTTCTGATTGGTGTATCAGGCTACTTAGGGTATATTCTTAGAAGTAGGATTACTGGGTCAAATGGCAGATCAATTTTAATTTTAATTTTAATTTTTTTTTTTTTTATCCTCACTCGAGGACAATTTTTCCTTTTTTTTTTTTTTTTTTCAGATAGAGCGGGAGGGAGAGAGAGTAAGAGAGAGAGAGAGAGAAACATCAATGTGAAGGGACACATCGAGTGGCTGCCACCCGCACGACCAACCAGGGCCGGGGACAAACTGCAACCGAGATACATGCCCTTAGCGGGAACCGAAGCTGGGTCTCTCTGTACCTCAGGCCGACGCTCCAACGGCTGAGCCAAACCGGCCAGGGCCAACTTTTAATTTTTTAAGGTAACACCATAGTGTTTTCCATAGTGGCTGCACCAGTCTGCATTCCCACCAGCAGTGTACTAGAGTCCCCTTTTCTTCACACCCTCGCCAACACTTGTTTGATGATTTGTTGATGGCGGCCATTCTGACAGGTGTGAGGTGATACCTCATTGTTATTTTAATTTGCATCTCTCTGATGATTAGTGATATTGACCATTTCTTTATATGTCTCTTGGCCATTTGTATGTCCTGTATGTATACTTAAGTATATGAAATGCATGTATAAAACTATATATGTACACTTAAAATGATGTGATTTGTATGTGCATGGGGAAAGACCCTAAGGGTACTTTTACCACAGGTCACCCCCTCTCTACTGGCAGGCATGGGTAAGAGTGAGAGGGGAACACACAGGGACAGAAAGGAGGGAACTTGGATTTCGTGTTTCACTCATGGATTTTTATTTTTTACAAGAAGCATGCATTACGTTGTAATAAAATAAACAGAAAAGCAGCAGCAGAACTGGCTTAGAAACTGTCTGTTCCAATCCTGACCCAAAGTTGGGATGCCTTCTTCTTGGTGCTACTTTGGGCCCCCAGCGTGCTCACCCTCAGGGTGCAGGAGGCTATGGTTCCTCCAGCTTTCCTTGGGAAAGCTGGTACCCTTTGCCCTCTCCCCTTCCCTGAGTCCCTCTTTCCTTACCACCTGGGGATCCACATCTGTCCCTGCCCTAGAAGCAGTTGAGGACTTAAGGGAAGAGGGGGGCTCAGCTCCCAGCAGGACTGGAGGGAGAGAGGAAGAACTCTGGATCCCCAAGCCCTGCTCTAAGCCTGTCTCTGGAATCCTGCTGCGGTCCCAGCAGCTGGCCACTCCTGGATCTGCCCTGTTCCAGCCTTACATCCCCCAGGTGAAGCCATGGCCTCTCACTGTGGCAGTCAAACTCCTTCATAATTGGCCTCAGTTTTTTTTTTACATTCCTACGCTGCAAATTCTGCCACACTAGACACTAGACAAACGTCTCTTACTCTTTAATTCTGACAGTTCCTACCTCCAATAACCTTTGCTCTTCTCATTCCTGCTGCCTCAAACTCTTTTCCTACCCCAAACTCCAAACTTCTCTCTCCTTGTCTCCACTGACTGAAGCTTTATTTTCCTATTCATCCTGCAAGTCCTTGTTCACATGTCACCTCCTCCAGGAAGTCTCCCATGTTGCTTCCAGCAAAAAGGCTCCTCTTTCTCCTTCTGAGCCTCCATTTCTATGTTGTAACTCAGTGCCAGGCACTAAGAGTGGTGTGGAATAGGTGTCAATGAATGTTTTTAAACTGTATAGGTTAACATTCCCATTTTCCAGAAGAGGAAACTGAGATACAAAAAGAGACAGTAACTTACCCAAGGTCACCTCTGACCTGCAGGCTCCTGCTATGATGTCTCTGCTGCTTGTGTTCATGGGCCTCATGGAAGCACTTCAGGTATGGTCATCCTCTGCTGTCCCCATGCCAGCAGGGAGCTGAGCTGTCAGCTTCTGAACTCTGGAAGGAGGAGCAGGGGGAGGAGAGAATGCCTGATGTTTCCCTTGAGCTCGCTCAGTCTGAGGGGTAGCCCAAACCCCAGTCTCAGGGGAGTTTGTAGTTAGTAGGTCCCAACCCCTCCCCTTCCAGGTGTGTTTGGGGCCCTTATGGTGTCTTCCTCAGCTCACTGGGGGGGAAAGCTCCCATACGCCTAGGGCCCATCTGCTCAGTCTTGCTGCTCCCTCTCCCTCAGAGCCACCCCATCACACGACGAGGGCTCTTCTCTCAGGAAAGACCCTTGGACATGGCCCCAACCTCCTTTGATGATCAGTATGCTGGCTGTGCAGCAGCCATGACAGCTGTTCTCCCAGATCTCAACCGCACGGAATTCCAGGCCAACAAAGTGTACGCTGACACCTGGGTGCTGGCAAGCAGCCAATGGCAGGAGCGCCAAGCCTGGGGGCCAAAGTGGGGCCTCAACCACACCCGGTTGCCCTCACATCCCCCTGGCTTTCGTGATGAGCACGGGGTGGCCCTCCTGGCCTACACAGCTAACACCCCCCTGCACAAGGAATTCAATGCAGCCCTGCGTGAGGCGGGCCGCACCCGAGTCCACTACCTCCAAAACTTCTCCTTCAAGACGTTCCATTTCCTGCTGACCGAGGCCCTGCAGCTGCTGAGCAAGGCCCAGCGTTCTCCCCAGTGTCGCCAGGTGTTCCGAGGGGTGCAAGGCCTGCGCTTCCAGCCAGCAGGGCCCAAGGCCACCGTCCGGCTGGGGGGCTTTGCCTCGGCATCCCTGAAGAATGCCACAGCCCAGCATTTTGGAGAGGAAACTTTCTTTGGCATCTGGACCTGTCTCGGTGTCCCTATCAAGGGCTACTCCTTCTTCCCTGAGGAGGAGGAGGTGCTGATCCCCCCCTTTGAGACCTTCCAGGTGATCAACAGCAGCAGACCTGCCCAGGGCCCTACCCGTATCTACCTCCAGGCCCTGGGCAAGCACAGCGTGTACAACTGCGAGTACATCAAAGGTGAGAGGGGCACGTGTGAGAGCACCTTTGCAGAAGATGGACTTCTTCCCACCCTGTTTTCAGGGGCTACATACAGAAACTTTAAAAACAAACCAACAGTGAGAGGTGCACAGACAGTCCTGTCCCCCACCCCTCTGTTCTTCCATCTAAGGGGAGACAAGCTTCGGAGGTAGGATGCTTCTCATCCCTGGTGGTGTCTGAACTAGAGCTGGCTACTTGTCTGCTGACCAAGGCAGGGGTCTTTGGCCATTTTAGGGCCAAACAGACCTGGTCAGGCTTTTCTCCCGGCTGGAAGCTGGAAGGGAATTAATTTCTAGCTACAGTACTGACATACAGACCACGGCTGACAGAAATGCTAAGAACCTCAACCTCAGTTTCCACGAGGAGAGTGTTTATTTGACTGAACAGAAATCCTGTGCAGTTGTGTGTGCTGGATGGGGGCCAGGGTGGGGGTGGGAGGACCTCATGTGGGTGCTGTGCACCTAAGTTCCAGCTCAGGCTGAGACAGGTCTCAGACACTCTTTCTATCCCCTGCGACCCGCCAAAAGAGAAATCATGAGGATGGGCCCAGGTTCCTAATCGGTGGGGCCTGTGGGCTATTGGTCCTGGCTGAGTGATGCCTAGGGGCTGGCAAGGCCCAATTTTCATAGTTGGAGGTAGATTGTTTGCTGGAACTGTGGACTACACCTTGGACAGCATCATGAGTGTGCATGAGTTGACAGAAGGTGAGGAAGACATGCAAAGAACATGAACTAGCCTGTTCTTGGGGGCACAGGCTTGGAGAGGCAGAGGTGGGCAGGGCAGGGAGGCGAAGGGAGCAGGAGGATTACATAGAACAGGCCCTGGTTTTGAGGCCTTGCTCCCTTCTGGCTGCTCATAAATCAAGTCAAACCTAGGCAAAGGAGGTCTCACCTAAGGAAGCAGAATTAGAGGAAAAAGTATCAGCTTTCCTAGAGCAAGTTGGGGTGTGGCCCCTTCCCATCCTGAGAGTAATTAAGCCTTTGATTCTTTCCTGTTTCTTCTCTATAGACAAGCAGTGCAAGTCTAGGCCCTGCCATCTGGAAAACTCAGGTAAGGGCTGTAGGCCTCTGGGACAGGGCTCCATTTAGGGATGAGCAGGCTGCCTTGGGGTTGGACCCCTCACCTGGATGTCCCCCTTGTGAGGAAAACAATCCTCTTCTAATTAAAAAAAAAAAGGCTATTGCTCAGTGGTTAGAACATTGGCCTGCAAACCGAGGGGTCTCAGGTTTGATTTCCAGTCAAGGGCACGTACCTGGGTTGCAGGTTTGATCCCTGGCCTTGTCAGGGTCGTGCAGGAGGCAACCAATCGATGTGTCTCTCGCATTAGTGTTTCTCTCTCTCTCTCTCCCCCTCCCTCCCTTCCACTCTATCTAAAAATCAATAGGGAAAAAAACAAAAAACAAGACAAAGCAAAAAGGAAACCCTCTAAAGCAGACACCTGTGGGACTGCTAACCTCTCCTAGAGGATGTCTTTACACGTATGGGGCAGCGGCTGGGTGAGCTGACACACCGGCTGCCCTCTCTGGGGCTGCCTCTCCCTCCCTCACAGGAGACAGCTGATCAGGACCCAGAGAGATCTGTGCTGCACAGAGGTGATGGAGGGCAGGGCTGGTCCCACAAAGTGCTCACTGGGCCTTCTCCTCCTTCACCTGTAGAACCCTCTGTCTCTGTTACTGCCTTCAGCACTCCCTCAGACCACTTTCCAAGTTGGAGGCTAGACCTCAGGTATTAGAGACCTGTCCTAACTCTTTGTGACCAATTAGTCCCTCTCTGGGCCTCAGTTTCCCTATCTGCAAAATAAGCCAGTTGGACTAGATGATTCCCTTCCCTTCAATACCTGCTGTGCCAGGGCCTACCTGGGCCACCACTTCTCTAGGTGGGAACAGGCTTTTCTAGGAGAACCTTCTGGAACAGGCCATTCTCAGGGAAGAAACCACAGTTGCCCCTCCTCGGTGGTCTCTCCTCCCTCCCTCTGGGTACTGTGAACAGTGGACAAAAAGGAGCCCCGGCCTCCAGTGTTCTCACCATTCTCCAGGACATAGTACCACTCAGAGTTCAGGCACACCACACCACAAATCCTCACCACAGCCCAGCGGTACAGGTACTGTCATCACCCCTGTTCTATGAATGAGGGAACTAAGGCGCAGACAAGTGAAGCAACCATTCCTACACCATACAGATAATAAGGGGTGAGGTCCAGATGGCCTGGCCCTAGAGCCAAACTCTGGACCACTATTTCAGGCTGCCCCCCACCTCCTCAGATACCATCTCATTTTATCCCTTACTGCACAATACACTATTGGAAGGAGGCAGGACAGGGAGTATTACCCTCATTGTATAGTAAAGTGAGACCCAGAGATGGAAGTGACTTTACAAGGAGACAGAATGAGTTTAGTGGCAGAGCCAGGGCCAGAAGCCAGGTCTCCAGCCTCCAACCTGCTTTTTTCAGTTTTGATAATGAAATTTCATGCAATGGAAAAATTTAAGATCTCCTCCACCCCCTCCCACCAGCACCTCTTCTACCAGGATTTGGACAGAGCAGCCAAGATCAGTGTCACTAGATCCCGTTCAGATCTCTACCCACGTTTCACCTCACCCTGTGATGCCTCACAGGAGGTAGGAGGACAGACCTAATAACATCTGGTATCTCCCTGTCTCTTCACCTCTGTTTGCCTTCCTCCCTAAATTTTTTTAAAATTAATTAATTAATTAATTTTTATTTTTTTTATTATTTTTTTAATCCTCACCCAAGGACATTTTTTCATTTTTTTCTTCAGATAGAGCGGGGGGGGGGGGGAAGAAACATCAACGTGAAAGGTACACATCGAGTGGCTGCCACCCGCATGACCCAACCAGGGCCAGGGACATACCTCTAGCGGGAACCGAACCCCGGTCTCTCTGGACCTCAGGCCGACGCTCCAACTGCTGACCCAAACTGGCCAGGGCTAATTAATTTATTTTTTTTAATCCTCATCCGAGGATTTTTTTGCATTTATCTTCAGACAGAGTGGGAGGGAGGAAAGGAAGGGGAGAAGAGGAGAGAGAGAGAGAGAAACATTGATGTGAGAGAGACACATCGACTGGTTGCCACCCACACGACCCCAACTGGGGCTGGGAACAAACTGCAACCAAGGTACGTGCCCTTAGGGGGAACCGAACCTGGGACTCTCTGGTCTGCAGGCCAATGCTCTAACCGCTGAGCCAAACTGGCCAGGGCTATTCTTAATTTTTTAAGGAGGCTCCATACTCTTTTCTATAGTGGCTGTACCATCAGCAGTGAATGAGGGTTCCTTTTTCTCCACACCCTCTCCAACACTTGTTACTTGTCTTGTTGATAACGGCCTTTCTAACAGGTGTGAGGTGGTATCTCATTGCAGTTGATTTGCATTTCCCTAACAGCTAGTGAGGTTGAGCATCTTTTCATATATTTGTTGGCCGTTTATATGTCTTTAGAGAGTTGTCTGTTCAGGTCCTCTACCCATATTTTAATTGGATTGTTTGTTTGTTTGGTGTTGACTTGTATGAATCTTTTTATATTTTGGATATTAACCCCCTGTCAAAGCTGTTTTTTGCAAATATCTTCTCCCAACCTCCCTAAATTCTCACTCTTCATCTCTGTCTCCCATGACACTGTGTGCACTTGCCTTTCCAGCTCACTCTGCTTGTTTTTCGTCTCATTTCTTTGTATACCTCACTTGACCCCTAAATATCTCTCTCTGCCTCTGTTTCCCTGCAGCCATGGGTCAGGGCCCCTTTTCTACAGTCTGGTCCCTTCCACTGCTGCTCTGGTTTCTTGTTGGAGGAGCCTTTCCTGAGAGTCCAGGCCTCCTCTGATCCATCAGACTCTGAACAGCCCAGCCTGCCACCTCTGCCCAACACCAGGATGTCGGCCACATGTGTGCTTTGAGTGTAGCCAAGATCCGTAGAAACTCCACCCGCAGGGAATTCTGGGACTTTGTCAGCTGCCAGGCCTGATGGTGGAGAAACAGAATTTGGGGCCTGAATTTTGCCCAGTGTTCTAGGAGTGACACACTGAAGAGAGGTGGGAGGACTCCAGGACAGGCAACAACTCACCTGGAGGAGGAAGATTAAAGGAGTTTGGGCATGAGGTGCTTGGGGAGGAAAGCACTTGGCCATGGTACTTGCTGGTGTTACTCAAATGCCTCACATGTGCAACTGGAAAGCTCCTAGTCCCTCCTCCAGGAAGCTTTCTCTGACCTCTCTGACCCTACTGGGTTAGGGTGCTGCCCCTGTGCTCCCACAGGTCCTAGGGGCTTCTTTACACCACATGTCCATGTCTGTTGCCCATGTTAGACTGTGAGCTTCCTGAGCTCAGGGACTGGGTCTGAGGCAAAAAGGTGATGCTGGGAAACATGTGAAAGTCAGAAAGGAACAAATACCTTGTGAACAGCTGGTCCCCACACTGCCCATACCTGGGATACCATCAAGTTCTCTGTCAGTGTATGGGGATGGAATGCACTGAAGCTAACCCCAGAGAGGGGAGAGCAGAAAAGATAGCAGAGAACTTTAGATCCTCTGCCAGGGTCTTGGTTGAATTCATCATTTTCTTGTTGGCAAAGATGTAATTCTTGTTCTAATCTATTAATCCTAAGGTTCCTGTTTCTAGAGAGACAAACCTGGATCCCCATCTCCCACCACCATGGACCCTAAGGGTAAGAAAGGACATTGAGGAGGGTTGCCAGGCACACTCACTTTATGATGAGTTAGGGCTTTGGGGCCAAATCCTGGTATGGCCACCTGCTCTGGAAACTAGATCATGAATCTGAATCCCAAATCCCCTTCCTTGAGCCCCTAGGCAGGGACAGGCAAGACCAAGTTCCTGTAACAGCAGCCACTGAGGAAGAAAGAGAAGGCAGGAAATGTGGCAGTTCTGTTTTTCATATAACTTGCACTCTCCCCAATGAAAGCTCAAACATTCATCATTGAAGTTCAGTTCTGTCCCTGCGGGACTGCACTTCGACCTTGACCCTTCTTAGAGTTCCTCCTCTGTAGGAATTATGGGAGTGGCAAGCTCTAGTTTTTCCTTACAGATCAGGATACATAGACAAGTGGTCCCTTGTAGTCTGTGAAGTTAGCAGTACTGATCCTGTGAGAGGGTGTCCCAGGCTCTTAGGTGCAGTGGGAAGAGACTGGGTGGCCTATCTGAGGGCCAACAACGACCTGGCCTTTCCATCCCTGTCTGGAATTGCTGTGGCTGCAGCAGACCCCCAGGCCTCACAGTGCTTGCACCAGCACCAGGAGGCTCATGACCAGGGCCATGGAGAAGAAGATGCCCAGGAAGAAGCGGTCCATCACACGGGCCAGACGTTTCCAGTCCTCATGGCGGTGCTGGGCAGCCCGGTGGCTGCGGAAGGTGTTAGCAATGGTGGCTACGTGGCGCAGCAGGGCTTCCTGACGGCACAGGCATCGGGGCTCATGGCAAGGGCCTGCTGGGAGCCCAGCCCCTTCCTCAGGAGGCTGAGGACTGGGAGGTGACTCTGGCCTTCTAGACTGCCCACAGGGCTCTCCTCGTTCCCGCACACACAGGCCCCGTGCCAGGTATCCCAGAAGGAAAGCCTGAGCCCAGGCTGGCACTGGTCGGGCACTGGGACCACAATAATGCAAGTTCATGATAAGGATAGTGAGCGCTGTGGAGAAGGTGACCATGGTCATGGTGGCCATGTAGTACTTCCCTGCAAGAGACAGAGTGAGCTGAGGCCAAAAAATAAAAAGGACTCAGGGGCCTGAGCTTCCCAGCCACCTCAGCATAAACAGGATCCCACCCTGAGGCCCTCAGGATCCGCCAAGCCTAATGGATGAAAGAGGAAGGAGGTAAGGGCCAAAGTCTCCCCAGTCCCCCTTCCCACAATTGGGTTCTCAGAAGCTACCTGCTGGCTAATCCCTCTCCCCACCCCCACCCCCCACTGCTGGAGGCTGCATTTACCCATAACAAGTCACCCTCTCAAATGCTGTGCCAAGACACAGGAGGCAAGTGACTGATGTTTACAGTACAACAGAGATTACACCAGAACCTACCTGATAGGTCTGTGGTGATGCTTCCCTGAGTTAATAAACGTCAAGTGCTTAGAAGTGCCTGGTATACAGTGCGCACTCAATACATTTTGCCCACAATTATCACCCGGGGGACAGTGACCTCCCTTCATCAAGTTCTTGAGAAAACACCATTTCTTTACTCTGCCCCCTCCAATAAGGGAAGGCTGTCCTTGCTGGAAGGGGCTTACTCCTTTCTCCTAAATCTCCGGATGAGGCATGCTACTCCCTCACCCACCGAAAGAGGGCCACTCTGGCGATCCAGCACCCCGCCTCCCCGCTCTGGTGGGGACCCGCACGCATCAGCCTGGGTGAGCCGGGGGCCAGTCTCTGGGAAGGGACAGGCTCTCCCCCAAACCCCCTACCACCTGCACCCGCACCCCCGGCCGGTCCCTCACCCACTCACCGATGAGCGGCACGCTCTCGGCCGGCGGCATGCTCTCGGCGAGGAGCAGCTGGAAGACGGTGAGCGCCAGCAGCACAGTGACGCCGAGCGACACCTTCTCGCCCGAGTCGGCAGGCAGGTGGAAGGCCAGCGGCGCGAGCAGCGAGATGAGCACGCAGGGCAGCAGCAGGTTGCACACGTAGGCGGCGGCGCGGCGGCGCAGCAGCAGCGTGAAGGTCACGTCTGGGTAGGGCTCGGAGCAGCAGCCGTAGGTGAGCACGCGCCGCCGCGCCGGCATGCCCAGCACGCGCCACTCCACGTTCTCCACGAAGTCGGCCAGGCTGGCGCCGCTGCCGCGCAGCCGCACATCTAGCTGGTGCCCGCCGTGCGTCCACGAGCCGAACGTCAAGCCGCAGCGCTGCGCGTCGAACGGGAAGGCCGACACGTCCACGCGGCACGAGCTGCGCGTGATGGCCGGTGCGTCCCAGCGCACAGCGCCGTCGTGCCGCAGAACTACGTTGGTGCTGGCCGAGGCCGGAGGCTGCGTGTCCGCCCTGCGGGAGGTGGGTGGGACTCTGTGAGGCAGTGGCCCACGGTCACCCGGGACAGGGGCCCCACGGCCATGTGCCCTGGGGAGGGCCCTCTGGGCTTTTGGAAGCCTACAAGGGGTAGCACCTGAGGGCCCAGAGAGGACACTGATCTAGCCCAGAGCAGTGTAAAAAGTTCTCTGCAAAAGTTAGCACCTGGCAGCACAATAACTTCTCTTGGGTGTCATCTGCTGAGATTGCAGAGGGAAATATGCGGAAATATGGGGAAATATGCGGAGCCTTGTGTTATCTGGGAAACACAGAAGTGGCTTAGGCAGTATAAAGGGATGCCTAGAGGGCCCTAGGCAGGCCTTTGGAGAGCCCTGAGACTCAGAGCCAGACTGGAAAGGTGGAGTGTGCCATGAAGAGGCTTTGGGCCCCAGAACTGGTCCTGGACCGCACAGTGGGTTTCTAGGAGACATTCAGCCTGGGTTGCCTTGGGACAGCCTAAAGTGGGGGTGAAGGAAGGGCTGTGAAGGTGTAGTCCCCCAGCAGGCCCTTGCCATGAGCTGGTGTTGGTGCTGTCAGGAAGCCCCATTGCGCTATGTAGCCACCACTGCCAACACCTCCCTGCCAGCTTAGAAGGGTCCTGGGAGACAGCTTCCAGGACAGTATAGCAATTGGTTAGGTGGAGGGATGGGGAATAAGTGTATACCCAGAGCCAAGGGCAACTCCCAGGAAGGCTAGGAGAGGGGAGGGGCCCAGTCACGCAGTACTTGTTATAGAGTACGATGTCTGGCCGCCACACTAGACTGCTGGGGATGCGGATGGCATCCAGGCCACCATAGGCATCGGGGTCCCATCGTAAGTAGGCATCTGTCCACTCCTGTCGGATCCACAGGTATAGGGTCAGCACCTGGTTGCGCTCATCCTAGTTGGGGTCAGGGAGTGGGCACAGATGTGGACACGTGTACATGCATATCCTCCCGTGTGTGCACACTCACCTACAGAGCTCTGGTCAGTACCCACAAACCCAATTTGCCCCTACAGTCCAGTTCCCACACAGGCCTTGTTGTGACCTTGGCAGGTTCTTCTCTTCCTCGGGCCTCAGTTTCCTTGGCAGTTACATAAGTAATAATCACTGCTGGGCAGAGATTTTACCAAGTGTTGGACACACCGTGGGCAACCAACAGTATCCAAGTTAGTAGCTATTATTTTTAATACTAATGTTTACAGAAAAGAATTGTTTGGTGAATAATCCCAGCCTCCCACCCCCAAATTCCTTGACACTGTCACTAGCACTCTCCATAGTTGTACAACCACTACAACAAACCATGTCGATGATCTGGGACAATGTCACCTCCAGGGTCACATTCAGAGCCTGGTCTGTATCCGCCACAGGTCTCAGGGCACTTGTGTAGTTGGCAAAGAGGTCACGGAACAGCTTGTGAGCCAGCCTGCCCTCAGCTCCCAGGCACTCTGGGGAACCAGTAAAAAGGTTAACCTAGTCCAGGAGCCTCTGCTCACACCCTCCATCCCCAAAAGGCTGGGGCTGTCACCTGTTCCACTATCTACAGTGATCTGACTGGTCCTCCCGATGGCTGCCCTCTGTCCCTTAGGCTGCAACTCTAGTTTTACCGTGGCCTGCCTCCAGGGATGAATGAGGCGAGGTAGGTGGGGTGAACTAGTACTATCTTCTGAAGCAAGGCTGATGGGTTTCTTCCCTACCTTTCCCTTCTGAAGGACCTGGATTTGGCCTGCCCTGCCACAAATGCTAAGGGGCCCAAACAGGCCACAAGAGTCCCAGCTCTCACCTAGGCAGCTGAACCCCATTGCCCTGCCCCCTCCAGTCTCTCAAACCTGCCTCCACTTCTCAAGTAGCACTTAAGTTAATTTCTTCAAAGCTTCTATGGGCCAGTCCCTCCAGAAAACACACTGGTCCCTAGGCTTTTGAGATACACCATATTGTCCTCAGTCCCTGACTTAAGTATTGCTTCCCAGACTTCCGTCCTTGGCCATTGTCTCCTTTTTCTCCAGTCTCCTGAACTCCAAATACATACATACAACAATCTATCTTGAATGTCCTGTAGGCACCTTAAACTCTCTAGGTTCAAAATAGGAACTCGTTTTCTTCCCCCTGCTCTGAAACCTGCTCTTTGATATTCTCCATCTCAGCAAACAGTACTCTCCAGTGACCTCAGCTGGAAATCTGGGAATTATCGCTCCCTCCTCCTGCCTGTTACCCCTGCAAACCAACTCATGCTGCTGAACATCTCTTGAATGTTTAATCGCCTCTCCAGCTCAGGCCTCATCCTCCCTCTCATGGAGCACAGCCTCCTCACTATTCCCCCATGTCTCAGGCTCAGCCTCTCTAATCGTCCTCCACACTTCTGAGAGATCAAGCTTTTTTTTTTTTTTTTTTTTTTTTTAATCCTCATCCGAGGACATTTTTCCATTTTTTGTACAGACAGAGTGGGAGGGAGAGAGAGGAAGAGAGAGAGAGGGAAACATCGATGTGAAAGGGACACATCGAGTGGCTGCCACCCGCACGACCAACCAGGGCCGGGGACAAACTGCAACCGAGGTACATGCCCTTAGCGGGAACCGAACCCGGGCCTCTCCGGACCGCAGGCGGATGCTCTAACCGCTGAGCCAAACCGGCCAGGGCGAGATCAAGCTTTTTAAAAAAAATGTTTTTTATTGATTTTTTTAGAGAGAGAGGAAGGGAGAGAGGGATAGAAACATCAATGTCAAAGAGAAACATTGATCGGCTGCCTCCTGCAAGCCCCCTACAGGGAATCGATCCCAAAACCTGGGCATGTGACCTGACGAGGAATCGAACTGGGACCTCTCAGTCCATGGGACTCAGAGATTGAACTGGGACCTCTCAGTCCATGGGACAATGCTCAATCCACTGAGTCACACTGGCCGGGTGAGATCAAGTCTTTAAACATGCAAATCTGACCAGGCCAGGAACAGCTCAGAACCATCCAATGGCTCCTCATTGTCTGCTGGATAAAGCCCCAACTCAGCTGGGCATTCAAGGTCCTTCATTTTCTGGCCCCCTGGTTTTTCCAGTCCTATCTCTGGGAGCTCCCCTCTCACCACTCTCATCCCAGTCAGGCAAATCTCCTCTCATCCTTTTCTGCACCCCCTCCTTCATGCTCCCCAGATAGCCTGTTCTCTAGCACAGGTACTGAAGAGAGAAATGAAGAGAGAGCAGCATGTGGAGAGAAATTTGGTGAGAACAGCAGCAACACCCAGAGAGGCCAGGCCTGGTTTACTGAGCTTCATACCTGGAAGGAGGGGAAGTAGGAGCAGGAAACCCAGTATGGAGACAGAGAGGCCAAGGCTGAGGCAACGGCTTCTGGGCCCCATGGCCCTGTAGGACAGGTCTCTGCCCGTGAACCTCCTGGCTCAACCTAGGGCAGCATCAGGGCCTGCTAGCAAGGATGGTGTGGTCAATACCTGAAAGTCAGAAGTAAGACAGATCTTTGCTGGGTCCAGCTACCCACCAGGGAGCCCTGCAGCCCATCTGGTATTGACTCTCGTATTTGTACCTGTCCTTGGATTTTAGTAGTTGGTCCTTTGTATCTGCTGGTCCTTGCCTCTTCTGGCTTCTGTCTCTGCCCTTTTATCTGCCCCTCACTCTCTTTACCTCTCACTCAGCCTCTCTGTCTCTGTTTCCGTCTGGCTTCCCTGACTCTGATATCCCTCTTTCCACTCTCTCTTCTTTTCTCCTTTTTTTTTTTTTAATCCTCACCTGAACACTTTTGCATTTATCTTCAGATAGAGCAGGAGGGAGAGAGGGAGGAAGAGAGAGAGAGAGACATCGATGCAAGAGAGACACTTCAACTGGTTGCCACCCACACGACCCCAACTGGGGCTGGGAACAAACTGCAACCGAGGTATGTGCCCTTAGCAGGAACCAAACCGGGTCTCTCTGGTCTGCGGGCCAACGCTCTAACTGCTAAGCCAAACCAGCCAGGGCTCTTTTCTCCTCCTTCTACCTCAGTGCCCCGACTTCCTGCCTCCATTCCCCATACCTGGGCTCTGGATGAACCTGGTGCATTCTCCTCAGGACAGGGGCAGGGATTCCATCAGTTCTGAGCACTTGGAGGCACAGGACCGCAGGCCTCTCCTCTTGGCTCTTTTCATGAGCTTAATTACACCCGTGCCCAAGGGAATGGAGCAACTGAAACTGACACTTCAGGTCACGGGGACCTGAATTAATTATTCAACTTCTGTAAGGCAGCACCCACACTCTGCTCAGGCCCAGCCAGAAGGAATTGGAGGGTAAAGAGATGCCAGGTTCAGGATCTGTAGGACATTGAGGTTTAAGGGTGTTAGGGACCAGAACCTATGCATAGTAACTGTCCTCTCAGCTCTGCCACCCAGGGACCAGAACCTATGCATGGTAACTGTCCTCTCAGCTCTGCCACTCAGGGAAGGACTGAACACATCTGTCCAGGTGCTTGGTGCCAAGCAAGCTCTCCATTCTTGCTGAGTGGTGCTGAGCCATATGTTGCTCCAGGTGGCAACATAAAGCAGGAAGCACAGCCCACATCCTCGCCTCTGAGCCCCACGGCCACCCCAGTCTGCATCTCAGTGTTCTCCACATCCAAACACCATGGGCCATAGTGGGTATCAGGGAAAACATAGACTTTAGAGTCACTTTCAGCTCTGTCTTAAGAGCTGTCTGACCTGGGCAAGATGCTGAAACACTCTGAGGTTCAATTTTCTCAAACAGGATAATGGGATTAAGAGTTCTCACTTCAAAAGTTGTTGTATCGACTGAGACCACCCAACAATAAAGGCATAGCATGTTTCCTGACGCGCAGTAACAATCGACAGTTTGCTACAGGGAACTAGGATATCTTCAGGAACACACATTTAGATTCACAAGCACCCATCCCCTGGCAACCACCATCCCACTCTATGATTTTGACTACGTACCTCATACAGCATTTGTCTTTTTTGTGACTGGCTCACTTCGCTTTGCATAGTGTTCTTAAGGTTCATCCATGCTGTAGCATATGTCACAATTCCCTTCTTTTTTAAGGCTGAATAATATTGTTATATGTATTTACCACACTTTGCTTACCTATTTATCCATTGATGAACACTGAGGTTGCTTCCACATTATAGCTATTGTAAATAATGCTGCTATAAATATGGGTGTATAAATACCTCTTTGAGAGTCTACTTTCAGTTCTTTTTAATATATACCCAGAAGTGGAACTACTGGATCATGTGGTAGTTTATTTATTTATTTATTTATTTATTTAAAAAAGAGGACCAGCCCTGCCAGTGTGGCTCAGTGGTTGAGCATCGACCCATGCACCAAGAGATTGTTGGTTCAATTCCCGGTCAGGACACATGCCCAGGTTGTGGGCCCAATCCCCAGTGGGGAGCATGCAGGAGGCAGCCAGTCGATGTTCTCTATCATTGATGTTTCTATCTATCTCTCCCTTTCCCTTTCTCTCTCTCTCTAAAAATCAATAAAGAAAATAAATAAATAAATAAATAAATAAATAAATAAATAAATAAGAGGTCCAGAATTGAACGCCTTAGTTCTTTTTTAAAAAATTTTTTTTTATTGATTTTATACAGAGAAGAAAGGAGAGAAACAGTTACATTTATTTAGATATTTTTTCCATTGATTTTTAGAGTGGAAGGAAGGACGGGAAGCGGGGGGAGAGAAAGAAACATTGATGTGAGAGACACATTGATTGGTTGCCTCCCGAATGTGCCCTGACTAGGGCTGGGATCAAACCTGCAACCCAGGTATGTACCCTTGGCCAAGAATCAAACCCACAACCGTTGGGTGCATGGGTTGATGCTCTAACCACTGAACTGCCGTCTCTCTGCTTGCCGGGATTGGTGCAACGCAATGAATTACAAGCATATGCTGGTTGGAGTGAGAGGGAGCTGTGCAAGGGAGCAAGTGCTCCAGATCTTTGGACACAGTCCCATTTATTTGCTGATTGTTTCCCCCAGGTTACAAGTGGATTTATGTAAATTATTTCCTTGAGATGGCGTCTTCGCAAACCATACAGGCTAGCCTTGTCTCTCATTTTTTACAGAGGAAAGAGACTTTAAAATAACAAACCCAGCCATGCCTGGGCCTACAGCCCATTATCCTGGTGAGTGGTCTTCCAACTCTTTGTCATGCAAACCTTATCTATTCACATATATACAACACACTCAGTTCAGACAGGGTGGCGTTCCTACCCTTCAGGCAAACTTTATATATCCACATACATACTTTGATCCTACGCTTGCTTGCAAGGTTGCAAGAATGCCTATCACAAGATTACAAATTGTCCATCCACCAACCCCTCATCTCCACACTGAACCACACTGGCTAGGCCAGATCCTTTGTTTTTTCACTGGGTTCTTTTTGTTGTTGAGTTCTATGCCTTTTATATATATTGTAGATATTAATCCCTTATAATTTTCTTCCATTCTTTGGGTTG